TCAATGAACTTTAATAATTTAGATTTTACAAATAGTATATTAGTGCTTTCTAAATATCCCACCTTATGGATTACTCTTATTGCTCTTTTTTGTAGTATTGTTAATGCCTGTAGTGTAGTTTTGCAATTATTGCCCCAGATTTCTGCACAATAGCTTAAATAAGGTAAGATTAGTGAACAGTAGAGTACATGTGATGCTTTTTGTTCTATGACCAACTTGGCTTTGTTTAAGAGGGCGATATTTCTTGAGACTTTACTTTGAACATATTTTATGTGTGGTTTCCAGTTGAGTTTATCATCAATAATGACACCAAGAAATTTGTTTTCATTAACTCTTTCAATTTTCACTCCATCTATTTGTATTTGAATTTCTGTATGTGATTGACAGTTCCCAAATAACATTATTTTTGTTTTGTTTAGGTTCAAGGACAGCTTATTTTCATCAAACCACATTTTAAGTCTATTCAATTCATTAGTTACATCCTTTTAACAGTTGTTCCATGTCATCTCCAACACAAAAAAATATTTGTATCATCAGCAAATAGTATACTTTTCATTATTTCAGGTACAGTACATAGATCATTTACATAAATTATAAACAGTTTGGGACCCAGGACTGACCCCTGAGGAACCCCACAAACAATGTCCAAACATCCAGAACAAACATCTCCCAGCTTCACCTACTGCTGTCTGCCTTTCAAATAATTTTAAACCCAATCTAGTGCTACTCCCCATATCCCATATCGTTCAAGTTTTTTTATTAATAAATCATGATTAACTGTGTCAAATGCCTTCTTGATGTCCAAAAACACTCCAACAGCAATTTTCTTGTTATCCATCGCAGTATTTATCTCCTCTAAAGTTTCTAAAATGGCTTGCATTGTTGATCTTCCTGATATGAAGCCGCACTGACTTTCACTGATTCATTTATGTTTATCTAAGAATGTTTCCAGTCTGTTATTAAATAATTTTTCTAATATTTTAGAGAACTGTGGCAGCAGAGAGACAGTTCGATAGCTAGTGAAGAGATGTTTGTTCCCATTTTTGTACAACGGCAATATTTTAGCTATTTTCATTTTACTTGGGAATGAACCAGTTTGAAATGACAAGTTACTAATATATGTAAATGGTTTAGACATCCCCTCAATGACATGCTTTACAAGTTTCATGTCAATCCCATGTAAGTCAGTAGACTGTTTATTATTACATTTATTTACAATGTCGACTATTTCTTTTTCAGTCACAGCACTGAGGAACATTGAGTTGGGGTTCCTGTTTATTATTTTATTTAAATTTGGTTCAGTATGTGGCAGCTCAGGGATCATTTTAGATAAATCATGTCCAATATTTACAAAAAAATTATTAAAACGGTTAACTATTTCATTCATATTATAGTTTTCAATATCTATCAATAAAATAATTTGGATAATCCTGTTTATTTATACTATTTTTTATAATACTGTTTAAGATGTTCCATATTTCTTTAATATTATGTTTATTTTCATCCATTTTTTTTTGTTGTAATATTCTTTTTTGCAAAACCTAATGATAGTTATCAAATTATTTTTATATTTTTTATATTAAGATTCCGCTTCCTTAGTTTTTAATCTTATAAAGTTTTTATATAATGTATTTTTCTTTTTACAGGCATTTTGCAGTCCTGGTGTGATCCAAGGACAACTATAATATTTATTCTGTTTATTATACATCTTGATTGGACAATGTTTATTATAAAATTCTATAAATACATCAAGAAATGCCTCGTATGCATCATTTATGTCTTTTTGTTGATAGATAGTATCTCAGTTTTGCGCCATCAAGTCACTTTTTAAATTTTTTATTGATTCTTCTGTTCTCACCCTTCTATATAACTTTGGTTTTCTGATTTACTAGTATTATAATTTCTGTCATACACTGTAAAAACAGGTAAGTGATCACTGACATCACTGACTAATAATCCTCCTATTGATTTATTTATAATATCATTTGTGAAGATGTTATCAATCAGAGTGGTCGAATAGGCTGTAATTCTGCTGGGTCTGGTAATTTTTGGAAAGAGAGTTAAACTTTGCATTGTGTTAATAAAATTCTCTGTAGACTTATGATTATAGGGGTTAAGTAAATCTATGTTAAAGTCACCACAAATAAATAGAACTGTTAGTTTTCCCAGTAAATGATCTCTCCATCCAGTTATTGAAATGATCTACATTGGACTCAGGTGTTCTGTAAATGCAACTTATAATAACATTCTTATCCTTCTTTGTACAGATTTCTATTGTTATACATTCAAGCATGTTATCAACCACCAAAGTTATTTCTTCCAATACTCTGAAATTCAATGTTTGTTCAACATATATGGCAACTCCACCTCCACCTTTATTTTTTCTGTTCATGTATCTGAATTCATATCCAAGTAAAAATCTGTTCCTTTTTCTGTATTCAACCATGTTTCAGATATAGTGATTACATTAAATAAATGTGGAAAAGACTGTAAATATTCCTTAATGTGATTAAAATTAGCATACAGACTTCTGCAGTTGAAATGGATTATTGACAATTTGTCCTTGGTAGTGATGTTCTGGTTGAATTGTTCTTGTGTATAGTAACAGCAGCTGGTGTTGGTGGTGGACAAGAAGTTCATGTCTGGATCAATATCATTTCCCAAATCATTCGATTTATGGTCAGTCTGTTCAAATAGTTCTACTTGATCATGTAAATGACTCCAGTGTGGGAGGTTGTTTCCATAAGTGATTGAATCAGATCTTGTCATAATGTGATAATGTGTGTGTTAGTGTTCACCTCCAGTTATGAGTCTCACTTGAATTTATCCAGCTCCTCCAAACTTCTGATCACCAGTACCTTTGCTTCTTCCGGGGTTCCCAGTAGTTTGATGAATATCTTGCAGTTTGATGTCCATGTGTTTTGTATTTTCTTCTGCTTCCTCAGCTCTCTTGCCTTCCTGGCTATGTCAGCGTTATTCTTTGAAAGATGTTGATTTAGAAAAACATTGGATCCTTTCAGTTTTCTTCCCTGTTTGAGTAATGCAGTCTTGTGTTTTCGGTTTACAAACCTCAGGATGATGGCTGGCTTGTCAGCTGTATTTATCCTTGGTAGCGGGTGACACGCCTCAATGTCCCTGCTGTCCAGGGCAATGCCTTTGGAGTGCAGGAAGGCAGCAACCTGTTGCTCCGTCGAAGCAGCGTCCAACTCTGCGGTGCCAGCGGTGTCTCCCATACTGTCACCGCTCACAGCCCGGGCATAAGACCGTGGTTTGACGGATAGCCCAGTGATGATGATGTTGTTTATTCTCGTGTATTGCTCCAACTTCGCAACTCGGTTTTCCAAATAACCGAGTCTCTTATCTTTTTCAGCGTTTTGAATTTTCAAACGCTTTACCTCCTCAACCAGATCCAAGATGTTATTTTGTTGCAGCCTCATTGCTGAAACTTCTGCTGTGAGGAAGTCCAGCGACTTTTTGATTTGATAAGACACACATACACATGTAGATTTGACAATTCTACATGTGTATGTGTATCTTATCTCACTCAGCCTTATAACTTGAACCCCTCACTCACTGCTCTTTGAATTGAGAAAGCTCCTCGGATGAGGTGCGAAACATCTTCTGTTACAAATAAAGTCCAGTTGTTTTTGTATTCAACGTTTTTTGAATTCATCATGTCCTGGATGACTGAGAACCTTCACCAGCATAAGCAGAGTGATGCATTCAACGTGTGTCGATGTCTCCTTTGTGTCATTTACCATAATGAATTGACTCACTTTGCCGATTCTCTTTGAGGTTAACTACATTTATAAACTAACTACAAAGTTAATGTGCATCATCATCATCAATATTCTCTCAGTAAAATCTGTTTGTATTAAAGTAAAGATGTGTGAAATGTGTGAGAGGGTCACGTCCCAGAGACAGTGTGGCCATTGCAAAGCATGCTAGGTAAGAATTATGTTTGCAATGTTTCTGGTTTCGGAGTATAAAAATGGGATTTTCATGTTATTTTCATGTTCTGGTTTGGTTTGGCATTTATGTTAAAGTGTGTTATTGGCTGTAAATTGACACCATGAGTCAAAGACAGTTTATGATGGATATGAGGAAGAAAAAAGGTTGATGGCATCACATGGAGGTGCTTAGCTTTGCTTAGCTGTGCATAGCATAGCTATGTGTAAATAAAATTATAATCCTCCTAAAAGATTTTAGTGTGAAGAACTGTATTTAAAAAAAAAAAAGCGTACATGAATTTACAGTGGTGCAACTGCCACCTCTCAGAGAGAAGGTCACTGGATTGAATCCTGGCCAGAGGACCTTTCTGGGTGGAGTTTGCATGTTTTCTCTGTGCATGTGTGAGTTTTCTCCCGGTACTCTGGTTTCCTCCCAGAGACAAAAAATAAGCATGTTAGGCTAATTGGTAAATAAATTATTCCTAGGTGTAAGTGAGAGAGTGAATGGTTGTTTATCTCGTTTGTCTCTATGTGTCCCTGTGATGGACTGGAGACCTGTCCAGGGTGTACAACCACCTCTCGCACAGTGACTGTTGGTTATAGGCACCAGTGAACCCCGTGACCCGAAAAGGAAGAAGTGGGTAAAGATGACGGATGGATGGATGGATGGACAGAAGGACGGACGATTTGTTCCTAGAATTTTTTATTTTATTTTAGAAAAATCCAGACAGCTAAGCTGTCCATTCCTGCTGTTTTTCTTAGTTCATATCTTAGATTTTATTATTGTTTTTCTTTTAATTTTTATACTTTTGTTGGATGTAACTGGGACCCTGTGTACACAATTTCATTTTGTTTCGTGTGTACACAATTTCCACCACATGTATGACAAATAAAGAAACTTTGACTTTGACAACAGGAAGTCCTGGGAAGTGTTGGTATGACCTGCACTGCCTTGATCTCAACATTACTGTTTGTCTGGGATCACAAATTTCCTTTCTGTTTGTTGCAGCGCGAGCTGTTGCGGCGCTGAGCTACTGCAGCTATCTGTTGCTAGCTGTGGGCCTCAGGCCTCATCTCGGACCCCAGGTCCGCCTCCAGCTCATGTTGCCCCCTCAGAAGCGGCAATTCATACTATCAATAAATCAAGGAAATGTGAATTAAGTTTTACCAATTGTATTAAATCAAGGCAGGAGAAGGTTATAGTTTACAGCGCTGGCCTGTCCAATACACGACGTGAGATCCTGCACCGGAAGGGCCGGATCCTTTCTGTTCATTGACTGTTCCATTTGTTTAATAAAAACAATTAGATATTACACTTGTGAAGTAAATCTTTCTTCACAGATTTTTACACCTGCCTAACAGTTGCAGTGTTCCAACATGTCTCAGTTGTTGACAACGATTTTCTTAGGTAATTCTTTACCCAAGTGGTTATACAATAATTCAGATGGACTGTAAATAACAAGCTTTTAACTTAAGTTGGTATTCTTTTAATGTCAAAGAATTCACCCAAATTTTTAAATTTGGTTTAAAACATGAATGAGGGAAAAATGGAGCGTGAGATCGATAGGCGGATAGGTGCAGCATCTGCAGTGAAGCGGGCGCTGTACAGGTCTGTCGTGGTGAAGAGAGAGCTGAGTCAAAAGGCGAAGCTCTCAATTTACCTATCTATCTACGTTCCTACCCTCATCTATGGTCACGAGCTTTGGGTTGTGACCGAAAGAATGAGATCTCGGATACAAGTGGCCGAAATGAGTTTTCTCTGCAGGGTGTCTGGGCTCTCCCTTAGAGATAGGGTGAGAAGCTCAATCATCCAGGAGGGACTCAGAGTAGAGCCGCTGCTTCTCCACGTCGAGAGGAGCCAGTTGAGGTGGCTTGGGCATCTGTTTAGGATGCCTCCTGGACGCCTCCCTGGTGAGGTGTTCCGGACACGTCCCACTGGGAGGAGACCCAGAGGAAGACCCAGGACACGCTGGAGGGACTATGTTTCTCGGCTGGCCTGGGAGCGCCTCGGGATTCCCCCGGAAGAGCTGGCCCAAGTGGCTGGGAAGAGGGAAGTCTGGGCCTCCCTACTTAGGCTGCTACCCCCGCGACCCGACCCCGGATAAGCGGAAGAAAATGGATGGATGGATGGATGGATGGTTTAAAACATGTTTTTAAAATGTATGCATTTATTTATTTTTTTTAAACATTTAAACATCTCAATGAATTTCTCAAATTGTCATATTAGAGATAATCCAGTGCCTGAAATGCAATAAGGTACAAAAACTTTAACAAAGCGGATGACTTAACTTTCTAAAATGAAATTAAAGTATTTAAATGTTAGAGTAACTGCACATTGTTTATTTATTTATTTACTTATTTTTGCATTTGCCCTATAGTGGTCCTCCTTTTGTATTTGAGTTTGTAGATAATTTCAGAATTAAACAATTTAAAAATGTAGTTCAAAGTTCCTCTTAAATGAATAATTAGGCCAATAATGACCCAGAACCATTCCCACCTCCTACCCTCTGGCCCTCAGCCTCACTTTAAACATTTTCACTTTCCTTTTTCACCATGTTAGCAAAATATCTCATGAACCACTGGACAGATTTTAATTAAACATTCAGAAAGACATAATGAATGTACATTTACAACTATTGGTGCCTTGATACCAGCCTCATGGACTACGTGTACTCCTGAAAAGCACCCCGGTACTTAGGACTGATACCACTTTTATGCTAGGTGACGTCATTTCCTCTTCCACTTTGCAAGTAACAGAGGACAAAAATTTAAAAATAGCCCATAGTTTAGGGATATTTTATGATAAACACAGCTGATGTTAAGACAGCAGACTGTTTAATTTTGTGCTTAATAAATTATGTGTTTCTAAAGTCATTGTGTAATGTTTAAGTACTAACTCATTAACTACTCTTTATCCACGCTCAGTATCAGCAAGTACCTAAACTAAAGTACTTGTTCTTGTACTCAGCCACTACAGCTTAACCTCATTAGCCAACATCAAATTGGTGCAACTCAGTCAGTTTTACTGATATTGAGCTAAAAGTTGGTGTGGTTGTAGTTGTGAGTAATCTCAAACATACTCTGAGCACTAACACTTTTTTGAGAACTCACAGCATTGCAGGAGACTGAATAGCATTATTTTAAAGTCTGATACAACTTAGAACTCCATCTTTTTCATCCTGAGATGATTTTAGAAAACTCTAGCATGAAAGGCAGCAGGAAATATGCACTCCTTCAAGAACTGTTAGGCCTTTAATACAACAAATTGTTTTATGTTAAAGTCTACTTTGCTCGTGACACAGGTACACACCCACACCTGCACATCTCCCACCTGCAGAGCACTTTGCAACGATCTACTCATGCTGTGCATGAAGCAAACCAGCTCTAACGTCTGCCAGTAAATAATACAAAATCCTATTTATGCATTTAGTTTTTTTTTCAAGTTAAATTTTTCCAATTTAAGAATTAGGTTTAAAATTATTTATGTTGAGAAACCAAACCCACAACTTTGCCCAGACTAAATAAATATTGAAAATGAAGTTGCTTCACTTGCTTCATTGCTCAGGGGAATTTAAACTTTCATGATTCTTATTCATTGGAGAAATATGTGTAAATGGGAGTTGCTGTGAAACTAAATAAAGTTTTGTTATTTATCTTGCTGTGACAAACTAAAGTAAATAATAAAGTTGAATCAAATAAAAAGCAACCCAAAAAATAAAGAAAAGCATCTGCTTTTCTATTTGTGTTTGCTCCTTCTACTGTATGTGTGTGTCTGGAGGGTCCTAATTGCTGCTGAGGTCAGACTGCTGA